TAGGCGCATGAGCTTAAATTTTCTTATAGTTTTGCGGATTAGGCGCAAAATATTCAATATAGCTGCTTAGCAGATTAGGCGCATAAGCTCTTTTTTTTCCTTTGTTGTTGTTTTTTGTTTTTTTTTGTTTTTCTTTTTAAATATTGCTTAGCGGATTAGGCGCATAAGCTTAGTTTGTTCGATATTTAACGGATTAGGCGAAAAATATTATATTTTCATTTTCTTGGTAACTAGAGGTGTAAACATGTCTCGAACCAGCTATGGGGGATCGTGTGATCCCTTTTGCAGGCGGCGTAGCCATTTGTCAAATTCGAGGCGCCGCCCGCTACTAAGGCACGATTTATCCCACTTACAAGCCCGCTCTTGTAAGATAACCTCTCTTAGCACCACATTGTTTTATTTTGATTTTACTTTTTTGTTTGTTTGTTGCCCTAGTAGGCTGTTTTTTTTGTTTCACGTTTTTAATGTGTATCTTATGAATTTTTTTCCCACTAAGTGTGGTAACAGAAACCTTATTATCCTTGCTGACTATTTCTTTTTTATAGAAGGGTCTCTGTTTTCCTTTAATTTGCTTGTCTTTGACGTATATAACGTCGTTTTCCTTATAATGTTTTGGTAGGGTCCTTTTCTTATTGTGTCTTTTTATTTGTGCTATTTGTTTTTCTTTTAAGAGTGTTCTAATAAACCTATTCATCTTTCTGCTCTTATCAAGGAGTTCTTCGTAGTTACAGGCTTCTGAGCGATTGAAGAATATTTCGGATGGGTTCTTGGTTGTGTCGGAGTGAACTGAATTATTATAACGATCTACGGCTATACTAACGAGTTCTTTGGTCCTGAGATCTGTGTTTTCCGCCTTTAGGCATCTATAAATTTCTAATAGTGTAGAGTGGAATCTCTCAATTTGGCCATTTACCTCGCTCCTCTGAGAAGGAGTGCGGTAAAGCTGAATTCCTAAAGATTCTAATAGATTCCGTATTACTGGGGTAATAAATCCACGTTCGTTGTCTGTAACTAAAATTTTTGGGGTTGTAAAATAGTGGAGAAGTTTCACTATTTTTTGTTTAAGGTGCAGGGTTCCTTTGTTTTTAATATGGAAAAGCTTTGCAAATTTCGAAAACTTATCAATAGAACTTAAAAATTTCTCTCCTTGAATCTCAAAAATATCTATATGAAGGATCTCACATGGTCGTGAGGGGATTGGTGTAACTTGTAATTCTGGCTTATTAGGATGCCTATCGTACTTACTAAGCTTGCAGGTTTCACAAGCCAGCACATATTTCCTAATCTGGCTGCTCATTTTCGGGAAGTAGTACTGCTCTAAAATCTGTTTTCTATTCTCGCTAGCATTGCGGTGAGCTCTTTTGTGCTCCTTCATTATTACCTCGCATACTGCATCTGGATTTGCCAAGTCCTTAACCACCGTCTGCGCTATACGAATTTTATAGTTGGTGAAATCTTCTAAATACACCTTTTGAAGTAAACCCAATAAATTTTCTTGAATTTTGATACCATTTACTACATTTGGGTTTAGTTTTTCCTTTAATATTGTGGTGAGTTCTTCTTCAGAAGCATTTTCTTTCCCTACGTAGTGGCGTGAATGTCCAGGATGTGGTTCTTCGTAGATTTGAAGCCCTCTTCCAAATATTATTTGATTCCTGAAGACGTTTAGTGGTGCCTCGACGAATGGAATTAAATCTGTATTATCTTGATCCGCGCTATGAGCCGTATCGCACGTAGATTCGCCCACACTTGCAGCATCGGGATCTGATCCCATAGTTGCAGCTTGGCTAGCGACCTCGGATGCAGGGAGGATAGAATCCGTCAATTGATTTACTTGTGTTTTGAGTCGAGAAAGGGCATCGGCCACGACGTTTGACTTCCCAGGTTTGTAGACAAGCTCATAATTGTACTCCTCGATTCGGGATTTCCAACGCTTAAGCTTAGCGTTGTAATTCCTATTGCTAAGGGAGAAAGTTAACGGTTGGTGATCCGTAAATATGCGTATTTTTCTTGCACCATATAAATAATTTCGAAGGTTATCTAACGCCCAGACTATGGCGAGCATCTTCTTTTCATTCATCGCATAGCCTTCCTCTGTGGTCGTAAGACTTCTCGAGATAAACGCTATTGGTTTGTCTTTACCGTCGTAGTCTTGAGACAGTAC